CCAGAGGCTGGGAGATTAAAAAAAAAAAACCCACACCCTCCTTTCCTTCCCTCCCCCCTTCCTTCTTGCACCAAACAGCTGTTGCATTTTTATGTTCTCTCCCATCTTGCACGTTGTCAGCACCTCTCAACAGCATTGTAACAGCATCCTCTCTCACCATCTTTAAATTTGCAGAACCCCCAGTGGGTCTTCCCCAGCCTCTTTGAGGACTGCCGCTTCCAAATTTGGAGGGAGGGAGGGAGAAAATTGTATATACGCCCTTCCCCTTCAGTTTCTCAACAACCCTGGTTCAGGACTGACGGACGCCTGCGCCCCGTGGTTCGGGGCAGGAGGCACAGCCCGCCAAGCCCTGTGAACATCTGGGCCCACTCTGGTATTGGAACAGCTTTTTCTTCCCTGGCATTCCCCCTTACAGCGAGGAGGTCTTCGGATCTGCAGCCCATGCAGAGAGCTATTTGTAGCCCCCAGGCTCTTGCCAGCAAGCTCTTCTGAGCGGGGTGGGGCACTTGAATGCCGGAGGGAGGACAAGACAGGAGAAGCTCTCGGAGGGCCCCACAACCTCTTCTTGTCTCTCCCCCGCCCCAATGAAACAAAGGCCTTAATCTCCCTCCCATCTCCCTTTTGTATCTCACAGAAACGACTGGGCCAGCTAATTGGAGCTGGCACCCTGCCACCATACAGGCCATTGCTTGCCTGGAAGGCGCTCTGATTAAATTACATGCCCCGTCGGGCCTTGTCGATGCGGTGCACTCCCTCTGCTGGGGGGAGCCCCAAGGCTTCAGCTGCCCACCCTGATCCCCCGTTGCAGATCTTCAAAATGGGTGGGAACATTCCAGAGGGGCCTCGGGTGACCTTGGTAGAAAGAGGCGGCCAAGGGAGATCCCTGCTCCCTGCTTGCAGGGCTCATACTGGCACCTTTCGCCAACTCGGTCTCCTCCGGAGGGCTGCTGGGCGCATAAAGCTTGTCCCATATGCCGTTGGGACAATTGTCCGGCCCACCTCCCTTCTCCCTCCTGGCAGACCCCAGGCCTGCTTCTGCTCATCCTTCCTGACCCCCAGGCAGGCGAAGCTCTGTAGCCTGCATCTTCCTCTTCCTCAGCTTTCCCTTCCTTTCTTCCCAGATGGAGAAAGACGAGACGGTGAGCGACTCTTCTCCGCATATAGCCAACATTGGCCGCTTGGTTGAGGTAAGCCCCTCATGATGACGGAGCGGGCCCTTTGTACAGCGTCAGCTGCGCTGCGGGCTGAGGAAAGGGAGGGTCACCGAGGGCAAAGGCCCCTTTGCCCCTAGCCTTGGAATGAGCCGAATCAGCCTGAAAGTACGTCTCAAGTTCACAACCCCGTTCTAGGCCTCTCTGGGCATCTAATGCCTTCACCAGTGCTTTTGCGCAGTTGACTGCAAGGGGAGCCGGCTGGCAGGCTTGCTCTTTGAGAGGAGCCCACCCCTTTCTGCATTTGCCTCTTGTGGCGGGGGGACAGGAACCGTGGGTCTCCTGTTCCGGCCTCCCTCTCCCTGCCGCTTTCCCCAAACGTATGGGGTGGGAATGGGTTCTGTGGAGGTTCTTCAACACGCCACTGAGCCTCTGAAAATACCAATGTGTGAAAGACACAGGAGGGGGGAAAGAAAGTGGCTCCTTTGTGCCCTGGGTTAAGGCGTTCGTTTTATTCTTCTCAAGGTCGCCTCAGACCTTGCTGGAGACTTGCCATCTTCCCAAGATGGCATCCGATGCCAAAGGGACCATTGGTGCACGTTCATGAAAATCAATCTGTTTGAACCAATTGAAAAGCAAACGGGCAATCTCTGCACTCTATTTCTTCTTGAGATACGCTCCTGCTGGGGAACGTGGAGAGACTGCCCATGGTCCACCTCCGGGGGTTGTGTCTCAGTGCTCACAGGCCAGGGTGGCTAGAAATTTGGGGAGCTGCAGTCAAAATGTATGCAGGGCACCAGGCTGGCAAAGGCCTAACTGGGAGGAAGTCGAGCCTGGTTTTTGCAGCTGCCGGCTGCCCCCTTGTGGCCATGATCCCCCCGACTTTTAAAACGGATAGCTTGGTCTGTGGGGTTCCCTATTTTTATTCTCCGTTCCATACCGAAAATGGTTTGATTCCGCCAAATTGCAAAGCATCTCGCGTACAAGCAGAGCAGGCTTTCTCCTAAAACACGCGCAGAGGAGTCTGGCTGGAAGTCTGGAGGCTCACGGGGTTTCTTAGGCCGCACGGAAGAGCACAGCTGGCCGTTGTCTTTAACGGAGGGTCCAGCCGAAGCCTTCAGCAGCAGGCAGATGCTTTACGCGGGGCCTCGTATGAGACTGAAAGGAAAGCAGAGGCCGGCTGGTCCTCTTTGGGGCGAGAAGGGTCTGGGCAGCTACGCTGATGGTTCTCCCTCCGAGGCCTCCAGCCTCTCCCCTTCGGGAGCGCTGCCTAAAATAGCAGGGCCTGCAAGTGACCGTGAGTTCTCTCTCTCCCCTTCTAGGACATGGAGAATAAAATCAGAAGTACGCTGAATGAGATTTATTTTGGAAAGACAAAGGACATTGTCAATGGGCTGAGGTAATGGACAGACTACAGCGCGGTGGTCTTTTTTTCTTGATATATCTATATATCTACATATCTATATCTATATATCTGTATCTATATCTATATCTATTCTCTCTCCCTCGCACCCCCCCCCCATGAAGAGTAGCCCTTGCAGGTTCGTTGACTGCCTTGTAATCACCCGTAGTCTCTGCCCCCTTCTCCAGTCAGTCTGCCTTGATTTGCTGATGCAGGAGGACGGGGTGGGTAATTAAATCGGGACGGCCCTGGGTTTGGAAAGGCTGTCCGAGATTCCTCCCTGCCGAAATCTTCTCTCTCATTTTTCAAGCGTGCCCCCATCACCCCCAACGGGACGGGGCCTGACCTGTCACGGCCTGGGGCAACCGGGCACCAGTCCTTGCCTAGCAGCGCCCCTGTCAGCTGGGCCTGGGGTTTCTGTCTGCCTTTTGTGCCTGCCTGCTGCTCCAGTTAAACCAGTGAGAGCAGCGGATTGGGTGACGGTTTGCCTGGGAACGGACTTTAGCATCCTGTTGGAAGAAAGGCTGAGGATGAAGAGCTACTGGCCTCCCTCCCTCCCTCCCTCTCTTCCTCCCTCCCTCTCTCTCAGCCATGAAATCCGTGGATTTTGGTGCTGGAAGAAACAATTTAGCTCCGAAGTGCTCCTGCTGCCTCCTTTTTCCTGCTCTTGATACCTGGCCACCGCGCATTCTTTCTTGTTGCTCTCTGCCTTCTTGTCTGATCCTTTCTCTCCTTCCTTGGCTCCTCTTCCATCTCCACCCCGCTCTCTCCAGATCAATTGATGCTATTCCTGACAACCAAAAGTATAAGCAGTTGCAAAGAGAGCTCTCCCAAGTACTGACCCAGCGGCAGATGTACATTCAGCCAGATAACTAAGCCAAGCTCAGGTACAGCCTCCCTGCTGAAAGTGGCCTGCAGGGCACCTCACTCGGCACTAAAACACCACTGACCTTGACTGAGAGAAACCGCACGGTGAACTCTGCCTTCACACAAACTAACCCCTAATTCTTGCAAGTTCTGTTTGGGGTTTTGTTTTGTTTTTAAGGAAAAGAATGGAGACCCCCTCTTTATGACCTTAGTTTGCCATCCTTGCTCGCTGTTTGGAGTTCCTTGCACTTGAGATGTGATAGAAATGGGTGCCTCTGTGTGTGTGTGTGTGTGTGTGGGTTTGCTACTGATTTCTACACTGGCACGGCCCAGGGGAACAAACCCCCCCATGACTAGGCTGCTGTGAATATCATGGGGAAATAGCATTGGCCTCTGCACCAAAGTAACGCGCCCATCCTAAATCTTGCTGTGGGAAAGAAAAGACATTCTGGACACCGTTTGGGGCATCCGGCAATATCGCTCCGAAGACAAACCCCGTGACTTCCATTCCACAACTAGTGTGAGAGGACGGGTGGGTGATTAAAGAGTGTGACTCCCTGGTGCTTCCACACTACGGTAGCCCAGGAATCTTGCACCGAGTGAGGACCCTCACTTGGGTTGATGGTGGCAGAAAGGAGGCATTGCTCCTCTTAATCTAACACCCTGTGGTGACGCTGCTGTGAAATCTGCGTGGGTTTGTTTGGTCTGCTAAAAGCAGCTCTCTGGAGCACGGAACCGAAGCGATCGCTCTTGGGCTGGAGAAGCCGAAGGGGTGAAAGAGTCCCCCTCCGCCTCGGGGACTCGCTTTCATGGCTTTGGAATAAAATGTGACACGTTTGCGAGCAGATAAAGCGGAGGCAGCTGTTTTCGTGCCCTTCCTGGGGCCAAAGGGCGGCATGCGATTGGGAAGTGGGGGGCAGATAACTAGCTGTGCCTCTGTCTCCATTCATCGGAGAGGCGGTAGCGATGGTGGCGGCAGCTGCCGCATCTGTTCTGGAGAGTCGCTGCTTTGGTTGCAGAGCGTCGCCTTACAGTCCTTGGCGCCTTGGTGGAAGGCAGGAAGGCCTGGGAGAGCCCCTAGTTGGCTGGTTTCATCCAGTCCACACTTGTGGCCCCCGTAAAATCCTCCTCATGATCCTCGCGGAAGGCTAGTTTGTCAAGAATGGTGGCTGAGCCTCCAGGTATTTCCACTGTAGAAGGGAACTGGTGGTTCCTGGTTGTCGGGCTGTTTTCCCCCAGTAGCTCATCAAGGTGGGTCCCTGAAGCACCCCTGAGGCAGCCCCCTCTGGGTTGGGCTGTGTCCAGATGTGCTGGCGGTGAGCTCCCGTGAGCTGGTTGCGAATTGCGGGAAAAGCTGCCTGATGTGTCAAAGGGCCGTTGCGTCAGAGATGCTTGCCGGAAAATTCACCAGACGCCACCGCTGTTCTCTCTCGGCAGATGCTGTCCTCCCTCGGGGCCGCCGCCGACCTCCTTCTGGTTTCTCCTCCTAACCCCCTGCCTCTTTCCCCCTCCAGGTCTGTGCAGACGTTTGCGGACAAATCAAAGCAAGAAGCTCTTAAGAACGACCTGGTGGAGGCGTTGAAGAGAAAGCAGCAAAGTTAAAAACCAGTATCTCCCTTGACGATGCTAACAAAACATGCCGTGCACTCATTAGACCCCCTTTCTTAGGAATTTTTTTCTCCCGTGCATCCTTCTCCCTCCCCGTTATTTTCTTCTACGTCAGATCATTTCCTGCGTACAATACTCTTCTACGCATAAAAAGCACCTCCGTTCCCCCGCCCCACCCCGAATAAAGCTGTATAAACTTTTTTTTGGCCTCTAGCAGCTTAATTTTCACTGTCTTATTACCAGAGCCTTGCAAAAGTATTTCTGTTGAGAAACTTCTAAGACTTTTGCCCTCCTCCCAGCTTCCCCCCCCCCACTTCTTCTGGGCCTTATGTTTATCTGCATATTTCCACCAATCACTTTTTTTTTTGATGCGGCCCCCTCCCCCTGCTCTTTCCATATTTTGTTATATTGGTGTAAAAAATGTAAAAGAAACAAAACAAAAACCTTTATTAAAAACTGTGGTCTGTGAAAGAGGGAAGAAACCGTCGTGGAAAATGTGTTTGGTGTATGTTTGGGAAAAGTTGGAAAGGAGGACGGCGGGGCGGGGCGCGGAAGCTGCCCCCGAGATCGGTGAAAATTGCAAAGCTGGCGAGCCGCCAAGGTCCTGCTTTCCATCTGAGCGGCTGAGGTGTGCTGCTTTTGACCTGTTCTTGATTTCTATGGAATGCAAAAGACTGGTTATTATTTTTTTTTTAATATGTAATGCTTAAATTGGAATCTACATCTTCTACTTGAGCCTCCATACCTAAAACAGGAAAAAGTAAAATAAAATAAATCTTTAAAAAATGTAAAGCGTTGGATGCTCTGCCGTTTCTGTTTCCTTCTCTTGTCCTTTCCCAGCTCGCAAGCGTCCAGCGTTTGGCGGGCGGGTCGTAGCCTTGGGGTGGGGGTGAAAATGGAAACTTCTGCTAAGGGAAATGGTATTTTCTCGCTGGTCTCCTAAGCGTAGCTTGGCATCTTTTTAACATCTGTATGGTTTGAGACCGGGGTCTCTCATGGTATTCAGTTGGGAATAATTTGGGAAGCTGGATGGGTCAGACTGAAGGTGGACACCGGTTGGCAAATAGGCTCCTGTCCTCAGAGACAGGGTCCCTTGGCCCTTTTCCTCAAGACCCCCACTCCAAACCCACCTCGTTTCCCACAGCTGTTAGTAGAGCTTACAGCTTTTTAGCAGCAGTTCTAGGCTTTTCAGCTTTGTTACCTTCATTTTGTATTTTCTAGGGCCAGCCACCCTGAAATATTTACGCCAGCATTGACTCCTTGGGGAAAATAACCTCCTTCCCGTCTCAGAGTCCTGTATGTATGAGAAAAGGGTTTTAAAATGCGTAGGAGGGAATGTAACTGGATGGAGCCTCTCCGGCCAGAGGCAGCCTACCTCTGAACGTCTCACCAACCTCAGAAGCGCCGCTCTGCTTAGGCGCTGCGGACTCTGCAGAGGTTACCCGGTTAACGTGGCAAGGATTCTCGCCCTTGCTCGGCAAAGGGTTGAAACCCACCCACCCTTGCTTCAAGGGCAGCGTAGGAGGGTAGAGGTGGATTAAGCAAGCAACCGTATCCAGTCCTGGTGGGGTGGGGGGAATATTTTTATTTTATTTCTCCACGTCCACACACATGCCCATCAAAAGGAGTGCCCCATGTGCGAAGAAGACCCCTCCAGACTCCTTTTCCTGGATACTGAAGGAACGCAGGCTCACGAGCCTCGGGCGAGGTCCAGGCAGCCAGCTGCTATGTAGCGGATTCCCTTTTGGGGTTTCTTTCAACAGTTCTCTTCCCTTTCATAAATTACAGTTTTCCCTTTGGCGGGTAAGGCTGGGGTGGGGAAGCTTCAAGTTCACCATCAGGCGAAGTATGGTCTCGTGCCTCAATGTTCATTTTCTTTTTTTTTAAAGGCATCTAGGAAAGCGGGCTTGTCAGGCACACCTTCCAGAGGCGAAGGATTTCTAGAAGGGAGAATGGCCGAGTCCTGTGTTCTCTAGAGTTGCAGGAGAACTCCAAAACGCGCTGCTGGGATCCTACCACAGCAAAGACCCGACCGCCGCTCTGTGCACCGGTCAGCTCTCAAGGGGGTCATCTTGCTTGCCCAAGAGAGCGTCCCTCTCTTCCAGGACCGGCAGTCTCTTCCGGCGATAGGCCAGGAATTGGAACGAAATCTGAAGGTGAAGAATTAAGGCTGGCTTCTGGGATTGGATTGGCACCCGCCATTGGCAACGAAGGACAAAGCATCCAGGGGAGTTTTGCCGCTCTGTTTTAACAGGCTGGGCAAATTTCACCAGCTGACTGGGCTGAAAACTCTCTTTTGGGCGCTGGGTGACTTCAGGGGAGGATTTCAGCAGAAGTGGGGTGGCAAAGCTAACTGCCGAATTATAATGCCGTTAACAAATCCTCAACAGACGATTTCTCAGCCTCAGAAAGGCTTGCTGGGGTAGTGGGGGGGCGGGAGAGGCAATATTTAAAGTAAATACTTCAAGGCATAAGCTGATGCTACCTGACCCACGTGGGGAAGCAGAAATGTTAATCATTTTAATGAACGTGCTCAGCTTAGGTCTGTTTTGCCACCACTTCAACTCCGGCATTACCTTTGCAGTTCAGAAAGTCCCTCAACCAAAAGTTTACGGCTCCCTCCCGTTTCCTGCCTGCCTGAGGGGTTGTGTTGTCCTCAACCTCAAATCTGGACTTGGCATGCTTAAAGGCAAGAAACACCTCCGCCTGGAAAAGGATACCACGATGTCAAGGGACAGAACCCCCAAGCTGCCAATCAGCCACGGCAAGTGGTGGATCACGTAACTGCCTTCCGCCTGCCCCGGATCTGGGTTCTTCATTAAGACGCTGAGGCCGTAGAGTGAATTTCCAAGCATCACCAGAGCAAAGAGAGAATAAGAGATCCCGGTGGTGGATTTCCTCTTGAACTGCAAGACAGAGAGGGAGTTGGAAGCTTCAGGTAGTAAACCCAAGAGGTAGGGTTTGCACAACCTCCCCACGGTGATTAAGCCATTTTAGCGATTTGCACAATTGGTTGGAATCCTATGTTTGGCTAGCTCTGCTCATCCACAAAAGAAGTGAAATACGCTTATCGTATTGGGCAAATGGATCTCCTTGGTCTTAACCAGGTCAGGGCAAGCGTTTCATACGAATACTGTCTTAAAATCCCCAGTTCTGTTCCAACAGATCCCATCTTAGATATTCTTTTAGCTACTTGGCAACCAGGGCTTGAGGTAACAAGGTTAGAAAGGGTGAGCGGTGTGGACTGCCAGCTGTTTTTCAGGGTTTCCGGCAGAAGGTTGTGCCTTAAACATTTCCTGCTTCCCTGGAAAAGCTGGAAATTTGAGTCTGGGGCCTCCTTCGGCTAATCTGCTCCCCAGAGGTGCCCTCCCTTCCAAAACGGGCCTTGCTCCTTTTCCCTT